GGTCCCAGAGGCTGGCTTGCGCTGTCCCGGCGGGTTGGCCGAGCCCCACAAGAAGTCCCATCAGATACAGCTTCCTAGTTCCCCACCCCCACCCCATTCACCCAAGGCAGAAAGGGCTTTCCCTGCATTTCAAGCAGGGAACGCATTATCTTCCTTTATATTCCATTCCTGCAACATTTCTGTGCTAGGCACTGGGACCCAATAAATGAGTAAGAAAGATGAAAAGGAGCCCACAGTTTAGTAGAAGAAACCAACCAGGAAATGAGTGATTATGGGATCTAATAGATATAGGATCTAATAGAAGGATAAACGATGAGAGCACAAAGGAGGGGCTGCCCAACTGACTTGGGTGTGGTAGGGAGCTCTGCTGAAGAGGTGACATTTGGGCAGGGTTCTGAAGCACGTGTAAGAGTTCACCTCTTCATTCAGAAGCTTTGGGTCCCATTTAGAAAATGGTCTAAAACAAGGGTGTTTTAAAAAAAAAAATCCTTTATTTGAAATGCAATTTGAATGCAAAAAGATTTGCACTGTTCAAAAAATAAAATAAAATAAAACAAGGGTGTTTAACCTGGGTCTGAGAAACCACTAAAATTGGACTATTTAAAAAAAAATTGTGTGAAACCTGATGTTCATTTTCTGAGGAAGAAGATCATTAGAGTCTTAAAAGTGTCTCTAATTCAAAGGAAATGAAGCAGAACTACAGTTAAGAGTGAAGAAAAAAAACATTTAAAAGGCCAAGATAGACCTCTGGTTTCAACAGAACTAAGTATCTGAACAGACAGGGCTCTTTGTGATCGTTCCTTCTCTGCTCCCGGAGACATGGGACATGTGGTCAGTTTCACCCCCTCACTGTAACACTCCACTCAGTCCAGCTCGGTCCCTTCCTTCCTTTCTTCCCATCCCACCCCTGTTATCTCCTTCCCCTGCTCCCTGCCCCTCTGGCCCCAACACACACACACGTGTTTTCTTTCAGCTGAGAAAAGCATCAGCAGAAATGACCTGTCTCAGCCCTGCTGTCTGCCCTCTGGCCCTTCTTCCATGTAAGTTGGGAGAAGAGCCCCTTTGGAGAGATTAAATCCCTCGTCTTCAATCCCCATGACAGTTCCTGACAAACAACTTCGTGACTCACAGCCCTAATCTGATGTGTTCACTATAATCCTGACATAATTTAAAATAGCAATCACCACCGCCCACGGAGCACCAACTCTGTGCCAGAAGAGGCTGCATATCTTACATTCCCTTCCATTTTTGTGTGTGTACACAACCCCGCAAGGCAGGTACTAACCCTGTCCCCATCTCACAGACACGGAAACCGAGCCTCTGAGAGGGGAAGCTATTTGCCCACGGTGCCACAAAACTCAATGACCAGGACAGCTGGGATTTGAACCCAGACACATGCTCCCATTCTGGCCAGCCCCACATGTCAATGCACACATGTGCAATGCCCACGGCACCACAGGAGGGCTCCCAGGAGGTGGTGTAATGGGCTGGGGTGAGCACCAGAAACCGGGCCAGTGGTGGGCAGCTGTGCCCAACGCTCAGCTGAACGACCGCCCGCAGTCCCACAGCAACTTCTAATTTCAAACCTGAGATGGAAATGGGTCAGCGTGACCCATATTCAGTCCCTTTTGTCAAGGATGCCCTCCGTGGGCTCTGAAAGAGGGGGGACAGCCAAACAAAGGAAGTCAGCACGGCTAACATGGACAGGACCTGATCTTGAACTGACTGAGATGTTCAAGTGCTTTTCTGTATACAACCTGCCCTTAAAGGCCGGCCCCCATCCCACCAACCCTTTTTATGGACTTTCCTCCGCTACTCGGGCCTGTCATCAGAGCCCTCCTTTTGCACAGGAATCCCTGTCGGGGGCTAGATTTTCTCAGATGGTTTCATGTATAGTAGTATCATCTAATCATTGAGCCTGTAACACCCATAACAGGGACGGCACTCCTGAAACACTCTTCATTTGCGGTTTCCTTATCGGTCGATCACACACATCTCCACCGCTACGGCTCATACAGGTTGAGGTTGAGGATATAATGCTGGGAAGTTTCTAACCAGCTCCTTCCAGCCTAGGCATCCCCAGGAGAGAAGAGAAAAGCTCGCCACGTCTAGCCCAGGGAAACCAAGAGGAGAGGTTTAGAAACAGCAGTGGGTATGTGGAAGCCAGCTTCCCAACCTCCGTGCCTAGAGGTGGCCCACACAGAGCCAGGTGTCGAGAGGGGCAGGGAGGTGGTGGGAGGGCGCCTTGGAGGACAGAGGTCTGGGGCTGGCTGCAGTGGCTGCAATGATCGGGACGGGACAGAGGAAAATGGCCAGGACCACCAGTCCCTCTTTGTTGGGCCCCAATGGCCAGATGACACCTACCGCACCTCAGTTATTCTGGGGAGTGGCCTGCACTGCCACCGCACACCTGGACAAGCCAGAGTCAGAGGCACCACCTGGATCCAGGGAACACAACCAGTCACTCAAGCCTCACTTTCCCCCATAGAAGCCGCCACCTTCTGCAGCAGAGGTGGGCAAAGGGTAGAGTCCTGAACAACTGGGCCACCAGACTCATCAAAAAGAGACCGAGCTGCTTACAAGAAAATGTAAGCGATGGCGTTGGTGAGATGACCAGATTGCACGATGACTCCGTTTCCTACCTACCCCCTAAAGATGGAGCTTAGAATGGGGATCGGGGTGGCTACAGAGAAATAAAGGAATCTGTACTTCCTTTTCCTATTTATAGTGGGAATGCTCATCACACACCCCAAAGGGTGGGAGACTCGTGGTAGCTCCCAGAGCCTCCCCGGAGGCCCCGACAAAACCTCAGTCCCTGTCAATGGCACGTTAACACACTTCAGGGAAGCACTCTCCTCACTGTACATCTAATATGAATGTAAGACAAGACTTAAAACTAGGCAACTTCTCAAAAAAAAAAAAAAAAGTAGGAAACTCTTTCCATTCAAGAGGGGTTATGCTTTAGTGAAGGGACCTTAGGTATATTCACCAAGCAGGTGTTTTGTGGTTTTTTTTAATCACTATATTTCACACAGTCTAGCTTCTTATAAAAAATAGAAAAATGCAGAAGTATTGGGTTTCTTCCTCCAGAGCCTCCCACACAACAAGAATCAGCTGGAGCTGAATAGTGCCCTCTGTAGACCACAGTCCCCACCAATCCCTATTGCTTGACTATATCAGTTTTCTACTGCTACCCTAACAAACTACCACGAATGTGGCAGCTTAACACAACACCCATTATCTTCCACTTTTCTGGATCAGAAATCCAGGCGGGCACAGCTGGATCTCTGCTCAGGGTTTCACAAGGCTCCCGCCGGAAAGAATGTGCTTCCCAGCTCATAAGGTTGTCTGCAGAATTCAGTTCCTTAGGGCTGCAGGCCTGAGGTCCCCTGCTGCTTTCCGTGCTGGCTGTGCAGCCTCTAGAAGCACTTGCATCTCTCGGGAGTGGCACCACCTTCGGGACAGTATCAGCATCATGGGGAAGGCAGTCCTTTCCACGCTTGGAATCTCTCTGACTTGCCCCTTGGCCAGCAGCTAGAGAGAACTCTGTCCTTAAAGGGCTCCTGTGATTAGATTAGGTCCACCCAGATCATCTCCCTTTGGCCACAACTAATCACAGGAGTGACAGCAGGGGGCGAAGGTCATCTTAAAATTACTCCAGCCCAGTCCCTTCATTTGCCTGTGAGCCCTAGAAAACTCTGCCAAGAGGAAGATTCTCGAGTATTCTCCCAAGTAAAGCGCTTCAGACACGTGTCAACATCCCTTCCAGACCTCCCTTTGCTTCTATGTTCTTGCAGTAGTTTTTACTCCATCAAGCAGGACTCGATGAGGTACTCTAGGCTTTTTAAAACCTATTATTAGTCTCCTCATCACCACGGAGATTGTGTCCTCAATTCGGGGCTCCCTGTAGGCAGTGGTAATAGGAACAGGGCCAGGAAGGTGGCAGACTTGGCCTCTGGGCGCTAGAATGAACACAAGGAAGGGAAGGGGAGCTGAAATTGTTATGAGCCCACCAGGTGCCCGGGCTTCCCGTTGGTTCAGTTAAGCATCATACAGGCATCGTTATCCCCATTTGTCCAGAAGAGCGAATGGAGGCCGAGAGAGACCACGATTGCCCAAGATCACAGACATACACAGGTCCAGCTGCAGATTCAGTTCTGTGATCCCAGAGCTCTATGTTTTCCATTTTCCGTGTAGGGAGTTTCTACCGGTGGGAGGGTGGGAGTAGCGTTAGCTGACTGAGCCTCAGAGCACCAGGCGGGTTAATAAAAGAAGCCCAAACCCTTTGGGCCCTGCTGGACCCCAGCACTGAGCTGAGAAGTGATTCAGGAAGGTGACGGAGGGAGGGCGGAGGCCGGTTACTGCTTGGAGGAGGAAGAGCTGAAAACCAAGAAGGGCTGGAGCTCCACATGGGAGAACCACAGCCACTGCTGTCCTTGACAGGTCGACGTCGTTGCTCTACACCTGTGGCAGTGAACTGGCCAGAGCAACTGAAAGATTATCATCAGGAAGGAGAGTGGCCGTGGAAACATGGTGGTGACTGCGTTCCCACATTGACTAAAGGAAGCCCTTAAGGGTCTGGCCTTCTGCACGCAGGCACCTGCTACCTTGGCAGAAGGAACTAGGTAGCAATGCTCTTGCCCCACACTTCACCCCTAAGAAACAGTGTGGTAGCAGGAAAACGACGGCGGGGCCACACTCCTACCCCACCATGACCCTTGGGGGAATAAGTACCTCGGTGTGGCCAGAAAGCAGCCTGATGCTCTAAGCTTCCTCACGTAGAAACGAGGGATCTTGCCCCCATCCAGAAGCAAAGGGAACAGAAGTGCAACGTTTCTGCCGATGTGACCAGACAACAGTAAGGAACCCTTCCCACAGCCAGGAGGCAAACCGGATCCAGGGCTGTGGAATATCAGGTCGGGATAATCGTTAACAAACCACTTCCCAGAGCACCTTCACCTACAGCACCTCCACGTGTTAGAGCAAACCTGTGACGAGGGGAGGGGAGGGAGTGGTGGGAAGGTGGTGATGATGAGAAACAGAGAAGTAACCTAGAATTAACTCGGTGTTTGTGTATGTCTGGGCGGGGGGTGGGGGTGCTGGAGATTTGTAATGTTCAGGGGCTGCCCAGCACCCGCATCTCCCTGCTCCACGTGGGAATTTCCCGTGTGGGCATCTTGGTGGGAAGCAGAGCTTCTTCCCATTATGGAAGCCAAGCCAGGGGTTGCTTTCCCAGCAGCCTTTGCAGTGAAGGCACACCTGGGTTTGGCCAGCCAGGGACACTGCCTGGGCCTGGAACCCGAGGAAGCAGAAAGGCTGGCAGTGGGGATAGCAACATTGGTCTCCAAGGGCTGCGGTGGCAGTGATGCCAAAGAGGGCACCTGCGGCCCAGGGCCAGCATCATCGCAAGCAACAGCGTCCCCGTCCACACTGGCTGGGTTTCTCTGTGTGATCTGGACCGATTCCAGCTGCCAACCCTTTCTTTGTTCTTCTTGTTTTCCAAGCCTGCTTCCCCAGGCGGCCGAACATTTCTGTGACGAATTAATATCCTTTCGAAAAATTCCATTCTGCTAAAATCGGCCGGGCCATTTCTGTTGTCGGCAGTTAAAATGCTTCTCTAGTACAACAGGTTTACAAGCTTTCTGGACGCCTTTCTGAAAAGATTGATTTGGGGACAGAGGAACCACTGAGGACACATAAATAAAGCAGCCCAAGATCCGGCGTGATTTATTGGAAAGGGAAGCGGAGTGGGGGTCGGGGGGACGTGGATTGAAGTTCTGATTCTGGCCTTTGGAACTGTGTGACCCAAGCCATTTGATGTTGAGGGAGCTCAGTTCCCTTATCATAAAATCGGAAGAATAACGGCTTCTTCAAAAGGCTGCCTTGAGGATGAAATGACAACAGGTACTGTCCCGACACATGAAAAGTGCTCATGAATGTCTGCTGAATTCAATAACACATCCAGATAAAAACAGCTCATGTCAGCTCTGAGAGAGACAAAAATTCAAAAGAGATCAGGGGCAGGGAGGTAAGTGCATCGCAGCAAGGGGTGGGCGTGGTGGTGTGTGGTTCTGGCAGTGGTCAAGGTACCAAGACTTGAAATCGAAATGGGTTCTAAGTCTGGCTTTGCCACTGATGCGATGTGCAAAAGCCATCTGTGAAATGGGGCTGATACCTGGCCCCGCCAGCTTGACGGGACTGCTGAGAATACGAAATGAATAGTTTTGAGGAACGTCTGCCGGAAGGAATAAGCCTATTGCAAGAATGAAGTTACTGCTGAGATGCAGTAGCAAAAAAGTCCCCCGAAAGAACAAATCTGCTGCAGCGTGCTCTGCCTGGAATCCCCGGGCTGGATGCTAGATGCACCGGCCGGGGTGCTGAGTCACTTGACACGGGGCACACCCCGGCAGGGACTTCCGTTGGCATCGCTGGCTATGTGGGGTGGCCTGGGAGGCGAGGCCGGGCAGGCGGAAGGGCAAAGGCAGCATGAGACATTTGGCCGAGCACCTTATCAGCTGTTCCTGTAAATAACTGAAGCTCAGCTAGTGCCCGAGGCTGCAGACTGGAATCCCTTTTCTGAGAACCACCCCTCACCCTTGCTGCAGCCGACATCTGCACGGATCTGTGCTACCGTCATCACCAGGACGAGGGCCCTGTCCACAGAACTCAGAACCTCAGAAATGGGCAAGACTCGGGGAGGGCGGGGTTGGCAGGGGGACGTTACAAAGCCCCTAACTGAACACAGAGATCCGTCATCCTCCCCGAGCAGCAGCGCAGAAGCCAGCTACATCCTCCCTCCACCAACCTTTTCTCTTAAAGAGACAGTGTTCAGTTTTTCCTCTCTGGACCAGATGACAATCCCCTGCACTGAGCAGATGAAGATTCAGCAAATTTAGCCAACCGTGGCTGAAGGGCCCAGGTGCTGGCTAGGGTGAGTCATAGCGCTTTGGCGCTTTTGTTGCTGTTGTTTTCTTTGGGCAACAATTTGCAAACAATGCAGGTTCTTTGTAAAGGCCAAAACCTAGCTGGCAGGAGCTCCCAGAAAACTGGGCGTACCTGGGTCTGTGTTTGCCTGAGCAATGCTAGCTGAAAGCCTGAAAAGTGAGAAAGCTCGTGAGCTGCCTGGTGATGTCGGCGGGGAAGCAGCCCCATTGTGCAGATGAGGAGACGGGCTGAGTCAAGTCTTAATGCTTTCTCTTCCACACAGTGCTCCTGTGAGGCCCTGAAGGAGGCGGGATACAGGCATACAGGTGATAACGGCTCTTTATACATCCGGAGGAGCTCCTGCACGGAAGGGGCTCTGACTCCCAGAGGAGGGCTCTACGTGGGCACAGCGCTGGAATAAGCCTGGCCTGGGGCTTGTGAGCACCCGGCCACACGTCAGACTTGCACAGAACTGTGGGGAGATGTCCAGATATCTTAGACACAGCAGAGCCCTAAAGGTGTGCCAGAAACAGAGAACAAGGACAGAGACCCAGGCTTGGTTTGCTCTGTTCCCCAGTGGGGCGGGTGTCGTTAAGGGCCCTGGAGAGCAGGCAGGTGTGGCTCGTCCCCGTTCCTCCTCCACGACAGCCCTCACCCACCCACCACTCATCAACCCCTCCTCCTGAGAAAAGCCTGTCGTGCTCAACCGCAGAAAGTCTAAATGTCCACCCCAGGAGGAAGGGTTATGGAAACAACTACCATGTAGTGACTGACGAGTGCACTAGGTACAAAGCACCCGGCAAAGCGCAGCTGCGCTCATCAGATCCTCCCAACACCCTGGAGAGTCACTGTCACCCCCATTTCACGAATCATGAAGCCAAACCCTCGAGAGTCAATGCCCAAATTCACATCCTAGGAAGTGGTAGAGCCGGGATTCAAACCCACATATTCTGGTTCCCTCCGCGTACCCGTGACTCACCTTGAAAAGTACATCGTGATTCTAAATACAACTTGACAGGCAGTAAAACATGACTGCCGAGGAACCCAGCTGTAATCATGGATTTTCATGTAATTATTCGCTCATCCCACAAACACTTAGTAAGGGCCTCCCGGGGAAGCAGTGGGAGGGGGGTGCCCAGCCTCTACGTGGTCTTGTATTTTCCTACTACTGTGTTCTCTACTAGTTTCTGTGCTTTAGAACCACAGTTCCCAGCCTGAACGTCTCGGCACCCAAGGCATCCAGGGACCCCATACCGAACTCGCAGGGGCACTGCAGTGTATTTTTCATTTCTGAGGGAAACATAGTGGTACTCGACGTCTATCGGATGCTGCGGGAGATACTCGCTCTGAAAAGTTCACAGTTTCAATACTGATTTGCACTACACTCCTTTCGATAACGTGCCCTCTCTGTGAAGCTCGGTTTTCGGCAGTTGCTGTGATGAAAAGCAAGTAAACTAATCGAGGCAGGACGGGAAATGAGGGCGGTGTGTCCTCTCTGATTCTGTGGTTTGAGAAGTTGTGCGGTGCCCAATGGGCACACATATCCCAGTGTATCTCATTCTGATCATTTAAGAATGCAATACAAATATTTTTATTCCTTCCATGTATGTGTTATTTTTTCAAGTATCTGTTATGTTGTTGAGACACAGTATATATGTCTATTGGATACTACTTGGATCTTATTATTTGGACTTACTAAATGGAATTGCCAGGTCTTTCTTGTGGCCTAGGAGCACCATGAAAAAATTACTGAGACATTAAGAGCACCATGAATGAAGAATGTTTGGGAACCTTTGTTCTAGAACATTCTATGTACTCTCTCCCCTAAGCTACGGTTAGAAGTTCTTTAAAGGCAGGAGCCATCTTATACTGGTCAATACTTTGGTTTCCCCTTGGCATAGTTCTTGGCTTGCTGTAGATACTCTTTAGTACCTGTTCACAATTTACAATAGAAGTCTGAACCTGAAAAAAAAGTCTGAATCTGGCCTGAAGAAGCCCTTACAGAGGTCCAGCGAGGTGTGAGGGATACAGGGGCTGCTGATACTCCAAGCTCACAGGTCCCACCAGCTAGGGGGCAAAGACGTGTAGGGCACCTTCCTGACCTTAGAGAATAAATAAACTTTTCTGAGCTTTCTGATGCAAAGTAACACCATCAACTGCCTCTGAAGGGTTTTAAGGACTCATGGAGATATAACCTTTAGGTATACATCACTTTAAACTGCTGAGATTCTGTTTAATTTAAGCTGAATCTATGATCGTGTCAATGATCTAGGTTATTTTCTCTAGTCTCGAAAGGCAAACCCACACCTCTGGGAAGAGGGGCCCCTCAGCGCAGAGGGGAGGGTCAGCAGCAGAGTTAAAGTCCAGCCCTTGGGTAGCTCCCAGCTGGAACTCTCCAGCAGGAGTTGCAGGGCTGCTTCTGTATCTGCTGACCAGGAGAGCACAGAGTAAACTGGTTGCTTAGCAACAGCTGCAGCCACTTCCCTGGTTGGGGTGGGGGGAGAGCAGAGGAGGTATACGTCCACAGGGAGGCTGACGTTCTCATCTCAGGCCTGTATCAGCATCTCCAGACAGGGCTGGCAGGAGAGGACCCACCCAGGCACCTGCTCCCACAGGGCTCTGGTCCCAACCAACGAGAGACGACATCAGCAAGCTAAAAATGCCGATGGAGCTCATGGAACGGTCTTTAAAACTGGCAAGTGATGATGGTGGGAACCTTCTGTAAAAACCAATCGTTCTGCAACAAGGAAGCGTTGCTGTCCTGCTTGGGGCTGGGGAGAGGAAGATAGCGGTCTGGGACCTAGAGAAGATTCCTCTCGTGCATTTCTGCCAGGCTGGGAAAAGAAAGAACAGAATCATTTCTCTTTTCTTTTGGTGCATTAAGGTGAAGCAGTCATCGAGGGGTTTTTGAGCTCACTGAAGAGCTGAGTGCCTTTTTTATGCAGGTCAATTTCTGTTGAGGGGGTGGGAGGGTGAGAGAAGAGAGCTAAGTGTTAGTGGAGTAGTGTGGGTGAGGGGCAGGTAAAGCACCGCGCCTGAAACAGAGCCGTTCACCCATTTTTCGGGTGTAAGACCTAAAGAATGTCCTCTGTGAAAGTTAAAGCACTCATAGAGCAGAATAATAATAACAAATATAACAATAAATAATAATATATAAGAATAAAGTCATGAACTATTCCCTCCTCAGTCATGCCTGCTCTGTCTATGCAGCTCACTTCTCCTTTAGATTTCTTGTCATACCTCGTTTCCATCAAACACCAGTTTATAAGACCCTCTGTCCTTATCGGTTGGTTACCTGACAGTAGTGAGTTTGGACAATTATCCTTATTTTTTCAAACAGCTTTGTGTTTGTGGACCTCTGTTCTCCTTTTATTCCCAGGCCCTAAAGGGTCCCTACATTGATGTCCCAGAGAGTCTCTAGCTCACCCCAGTCCCCCTTGTTAAATCCAGGCCAACAAACCTGCCCTGTGTTTACGCTGGACACACGCCAATGAATCAGCAGTTCTAGGGCCACGGCCTGGAAAGCTCCGCCCACCCTGAGGAGGAGCCTTGCTCTGCTTGGAGGACACTGGGCTGTCCCCTGCTATCCAGAGCCAGCAGAAGTCATTCACCTGGCAGAACCTGCTCTCCAGGGCCGTCATCCACTCCCCCACCAGTGCGTTGGCAGCACAAAGCTCCCCTCTCCAAACACCCTTTATCCTGCTGCTCTGCCTGGTGGTTTGTTTTTGTTTTGTTTTGTTTTGCGGTACGCGGGGCTCTCACTGTTGCGGCTGCGAAGCACAGGCTCCAGACGCGCAGGCTCAGCGGCCATGGCTCACGGGCCCAGCCGCTCCGCGGCATGTGGGATCTTCCCGGACCGGGGCACGAACCCGTGTCCCCTGCATCGGCAGGCAGACTCTCAACCACTGCGCCACCAGGGAAGCCCCTGCCTGGTGGTTTTTAACAGGCAGTGTCCCGCTCCACACACACCTCGCTATCAGAGGTTGAGTAATCAGTATCTGTGGGCACGAGGCCGGGGACAGGCGGTGGAGACTTCCTGCGGATCCTGTACCCACGGCCCGGCCCCCACTCTGACCCCGTGCATTCCCTCATCCACAAAGTGAGGGGCTGGGCTGAAGCCCCTCTTCCGAGGAACACTCGCCCCACAGGGTGTTCATCGCCCTGCCATGCACGAGAAAAGGATTCTAGGGTTAAGAAGTATGGGAAGTGCTTGTTAAAAATGCAAACTAGTTGCAATTCTGTTTTCCAGCCCCAGCCCCAGCCTAGATCTCATTCCTCACTGCCCCAGCAGAGAGATTCGACTTGCCAATCACCACCCTCGCCCCGTATGCTTCTGTGTGTTCCTGTCTTGATGGTTTTTAAAGCAACGTTAAGCACCCTGTTACACAGGCACACACACAATAAATACAAGTTGCAAGCACCCTCTCCATCAGCAAAAGGTTTCTCTAATATAGTACTTCTTTGAGCCATTAATGACTGCGCGCATCTCCAAGGAATCAACGACACTGGAACAAACCCCCAGCGATCCAATCTTTCCCCCTTTATAGTGAAGCATGTTGGAGAGAAGAGAGACAGCTAGTGTCTGGACTAGATGTTCCACAGGGGGGCTCCAAGTGTAACATCCACGATTTATATTCTTTATACCGTGATTTGCTAAGTGAATCACAAATCTGCATTTATTTGGGGGGCATAGAGAGAAGATGGGGGGCCAGAGGGGCTGTGGTGCTAAGTCAGGGCTACCTGTGGTGCTGCAGCTGGCCCTCCACACGGCCTCAAGGGAGGAGAGCGCTTTAGTCCTTCTAGAAGCTACAATTCAGGGGTGCGAAAGCACCCAAGGACACGTTGCAGAGCACATGCTGCCCAACCTCCATTGCACACACACCTTTAGGCTGAATGAGTTGAAAAGAAAGAGGTTTGGTAAACTGTTTAGAAAAATTCTCAGCAACTGGACATCTAAACGACCCACTGCAAAATTCAAATAGAGGAGCTTCTGCCAACTGTTGATATGCAATCCATTTTTTAAAGGTCTATACTGTGTCAATACAGTGGCTTTAAAAAATGTTTAACATCCCTTTTCCAATCTATCTTACTATTAGTCTTTTCCAAACAATGATACGCATATCACACACACACACACACACACACACACACACACACACACACACACACACACGCCCCTCCTGTTTAGAAACTTAATCTTTGCCATCGCCCATCCCCATCGTATGGCCTTTGAGGCTTCCCATGCCTTGGCCATAATTTATCCCTCTAAAGGGATTCTCAAGTTCAAACAGGTTCAGCCTCACCGTACACTTTCCCACCCTCAGATCTTTGCCCCCTTCCTCTCCAGTCTCCACTGTGCCAACCCCCCCTCCAAGGTCTAACTTAAGTGCTGTCTCCTCTGAGACATCTTTCCTGAGGACTCCAAGCCTCAGGTATCTCTCCATCTCTAATTTGCTGCCTGCATCAGGTATATCTTTCTGAACCTTCATTATATAACATCTGGGATTCTTAGCCATATTTTCACGTGTAATATTGAAGCTGCCAACCATCTGTGAATTCTACAACTGTAAGCAAGATTCCCCCAAACCTTCTGGGCTTCAGTTTATATAAAATGTGGGTAACAATAGTATCTACCTTAAAAGATTGTTATGAGGATTAAACGAGATAATGCATGTAAGCTACTTCACACAGTGGCTGGCACAGTAAGTGCTTAATAAGTGCTATTATTAACCAACCAGTGAAACCTTTGGAACAACCAGGAACCATCTCTATTTCCTGGTGTCCTCCAATGGCCTAGCACAATGACCATCTTCAATAAATCCTTACTCCTTGAAATTAACCCAAGGGGGAAGGAGGAAAGAATTCAGAGGAAGTAAGTTTGAAAGGATACTTAATTATGGTTTTCAAGGATATAAAGGGTTATTTTTACAGAGGATGATGAACATTAGATTTTCTTTTTGTTTGTCTCCTTGAAGGCAAAAGATGACAATTGGACTTAAATTTTAGTAATCTTGGCTGAAACTTCCTGATGACACCAGTGAAGCTGCAGCAAAGAATACTGATGAAGGTCACATGTAGGGGAGCCAGACCAAGGACTGAGTCTGACCTCAGAGCTCTACCACTTATTTGGACAAGTAACTTTATGCCTGTAAGCCTCAACTTCTTTGTCTGTAAAATGGGACTAAAAAGAGTACCAGCTTCATTGGAGAGTTGTAAGAATCATCTTAAAAACTTAGCACAGGGTCTGGAACATAGTAAGTGCTCAATAAACAGTAATGATGGTCATGTTATTGTACCAAGGGATGTTGTGGAATTTCTTTAAAATGGTTATAAACAGTTACTTTTAGTAGATAGCTGGGGAACAGGCTGGCCCATTGCTCACGTCTTGTAGATAAGGAACTTGAGGTTCTGAAATTTGTTAGACCAGAAACAACTCTGGGGTGGGAGGCTGGGGGGGGTGGGAGGCAAAACAACTCTGCTGACCAGGTATGCAGCATACTTCCATCCTCATTATGAACTGCTTCTTCTGACATGGAAGCAACCTAAATGTCCATCGACAGATGAATGGGTAAAGAAGATGTGGTATATATATTCACAATGG